CGACACATAAATTCAGGGTTCGTGTAGTGAGGCTTTGTTGATAGTAGTGACTATTCCATGAGAGCAAACTGACTTTTTATTGTGGAATTCGCCGGTGTGATTTGAAACTTATTTGAAATTCGCGTTCTAATTTTAGAGGGCAGAGATATTCCTTGTTCCTTATCGGTGTGGAGATCCTTGGGGGAGGCCTATGCTCAGCAGTGGGCGTCATACGGCTGACATGACAATGATGATGATGAGATATTCCTCGTCCCTTTTTACACTGTCCGCAACTTGACTTATGAACTTGTTCCAGATCTCACCTTTATAAGGTCCAGTCATGGTGGTGTTCTTTTGTGTATAGGAGGTTTCACTTTCCGAAAGCAGCACCAAGGCCATAGTAGGATACGCTGGAATTGCTCTTCACATTGCAACAAGAAATGCAAAGCTGTAGTTTATACCACCGGCGACACTCACAAAGTTATCAAATGTAACAATGTTCACAACCACACAATGAAAATGAAATACTTTTTTTAAAGAAAATATTACTAGAAGAATTTCGAACGGGACGGGTCTGGTTCGCGTGGAATTTTTTCTAGTAACATTTTCTTTAGATTTCAACATCGAGCAGTTCCATGCTTAAAAAATAAAAATTACAACTACTTTTTTTAATATAAATTTTCTATACATACACAAGGAACGTCATGGCTAAATATTCATGATGTTCATTGCGTTTATATACGCAGTACTTAAGGTACGAAAAAAAAATCAACGTGTTACGTTCTTGTTAAAAATATTTTTCTGTTAAATGCTTAAATTATAATATATCAAAATTACTTATAAAGGTGTTTTAGTGCTATCCCTATTTGTGTTATATGAATTTCATTTGATGGCCCAAAGTCATATAACTTTCTCACTACAAGAACACAGGTCTAGTTCAAAACATTTTTTTTGTTTAGTTTTTTTTTTGTACTAAGATTCAAGCTCTTTATCTGTGTTATGTATAGTGTCATGATATCACATAACATATTTTCAGCTTGATTTGCTAGTGGCCACTTGGAGACCATATTACCGAAGCCAGTGAACACATTTATATTTTGCTTTATTCTAGCAGACAATAAACTTGTTAATACTTCAAAGAGTACCTCATTTCCTCATTCCGCTCTACAGCTTATGAGCGGAAATCTCAAAGTGCGGGAAACACAAATTTGAAAAAAAAACGGCCAAGTGCGCGTCGTGCCACGCGCAGTGTGGGGTTCTGTAGTTGTTCGGCGTTACCACAATATATTTAAAATAGAATTTTTATTTCAAGCAATTACTTCCTCCAAGTAACATTTAGGCCCGTATTACAGAGTGACAACTAAGTGTTGATCTTTACTTGAGTAGAGTTAGAAAGGGATATCACTATGTGCTATATATAGCGACATCCCTTTCTAACTATGCTCAAGATTAGATCAATCACTGAGAATATTTCCATAATACGGGCCTTAATGTTTTCTTCTAAGGAATTTTATTAGGTAAGAAATTTTTTGATGCATAAGTTGAGCGATTATTTCTCTTAAACGTTTCCTTTAAAGTTCGTAAAAACACTATTATCATGAGTTTGTCTAGATTTTCAAGCTAATGCTTTAGCTTTTAGAGGGGTGGCAACGCAACAAAATTTAGCGCTTTAAAGGTTAATATTTCGCAAACGGATCCCTAAATCGAAAAATAGATTTAGCAACCACGAAATCACTTTAAAAGACCTATTTAATGATACCCCACAGAATGGGGTAGACGATGAAAACAATTGTTTGATATGATTGATATACATACCTCCACAAAATTACAGCTCTCTAGTGTTGTAATTTATAAGACTATTGGTAGTCTGCAAGCAATGCCTTGGATGGACAGACAGACGACATGACAATAAGGGTTCCTTGGCAGAACTACGGAATCCAAAAAAAAAGGAATTGAAATAGACGTATATGTGTATAATTAACAGACAGACTACATTGAACACCACCAATTAAAAAATATTTAAGACTAGTGGCCCGCCCTCGCTTCGCTTCGGTGTAGAGCTGTAGTGTAAACTATAGTTTTTGTTCTCAGGTTTGTGCTATAAACAATGACTTTATTTATATAATTACACGTGTTATTGTGAGTCAACCATAAAAGATAGACATATGCTGTTGCGGGATATTTTTTAGACAATTTTATGTAGAATATTTCCGTTATACATGATTTCTATGTAACTTTAACCATTAAGGCTGCACACACGACGGAAGCTTAAAAAATGGAGTAACTTCTCCCGTTTTCCCAACATTTTCCTTCACTACTCTGCTGCTATTGATTGTAGCGTGATGAAAAGTATACTATAACCTGCCCAGGAGTATGAAGAATAATTGTACCAAGTTTCGTTAAAATCCGTCGAGTAGTTTTTGTTTCCATAAGGAACATACACACAGACAGACAGACAGACAGACAAAAATTTTACTGATTGTATTTTTGGCATCAGTATCGATCACTAATCACCCCCTGATAGTTATTTTGAAAATATATTTCATGTACAGAATTGACCTCTCTACAGATTTATTATAAGTATAGATTAAGAGTAAAGCACTACATAAATAAAGTTTTATAAAAAAAAGGTTTTATACTACTTATTTGTAAAAAGTTTCAGTATATTGTGGTTTATACCATGTAATATTAATATTACATAGAACAATATTCCACGTAGTTTTAACTCATTTTGGAAGGCATTATACGGCTTAAGACTTACAAAATACGTCGTTTATCTAAAATGTGTACCCACACTGAGTGACTGCTCTACTGCTTCCTGCTACATACCCCATATCCTTCTGCACTCTTTGCTTTTTAAGAGCAGGGGGCCATTCGCCTAACGGAAATGCTTTGGAAAACGCTAACGCTTACGATTTTATTTTGTTATTTCTAGCCGCCTGAGGTTTTCGAATGCCTCGCGCTCTTTTTTTTTCCTTTGCATTGGCAATAACAATAAGAAAAAAAAAAATAGCGTGAGGTATTTGAAAACCTTCGGCGGTCAGAAATAATAAAATAAAATCGAAAGCGTTGGCGTTATCCAAAGCATTTATGTTAGGCGAATGGCCCCCAAGTTTCCCTTAGCCTTTTACGAAAATTATACATTTTTATTTATCATTTTTACAAAAGTAAACTTTTTTAAATAAAAATGTGGTTTCTGGTTATATTTCAATCGGACAATAGTCATAAATAACAGACTCAGTTTTTTTGTTGAATTGTGTTATTAATGTATACATTTTTATTATAAATAAATTATGAAGTTATTTAAATATAACTAAGAATGAATTTAATCACTATTTAAAAATTAACGTTTCATCTCAGGAAAGTACGTACAGGAAGTGTTTAGCTTCAGTTTACGTAAAAAACGCGTATCCTAGTTCCTAGTAATGTCAGCTTCTCGAAACAAAATCAAATAAAAATAAATTTCTTTTTCATGTATGTGACAATTTATTTATCAATATCGTTCTAAGATGTACATTCAGCACAGCAGACTATTTCTATATGAATAATTCTATTAGATATATCAAGACATTAAAACAGTGAAGTGATCAATAATTGATAACTCCAGAAAGTTGTACTTTTTATTTAATTAAACTTAAGTATTAAACTACTAGATTAATAAGTTCAAATATTTTTTTTACTAGAAACATTCTATTCGGTCGAGGTGCAGGTTCGAATCCTGTCTGAAACCTGGATCGGCTAGAATAAGTTAGTAAAAAAAATGCTTAACTTTGGAATGCCATAAGGGAATAATTTGAAATAAAATGAAAAAACCTTTATTGGCCATCTTACACAATAAAAATACTACAAATATAAACAGAAAATAAAAGAGAAACTTAACCTAAAAACGAAAAATAACAACATCAAACTAAGACGGCCAATCAGGACCCTGCCTCAGCTTATGCTGACACAGTGGGAGAATACTCTCTCACTGTATCAGCGCTGGTATTCTGGCAGGGCCTGTGCGAGGACGAGGAATTTCAAACCTTTACTTTTTCCTTGCAGATGCTTCATTCGAATGGACACAACGCGGTAATCTAGTAATGACAGTCAATGGGTTTAGGTTCAGTCAACAAAAAAGTCACGGCTTGAAAACCAGATGGCAGTGCTCTCGCCACAGCAGAGGCTGCAAAGCAGCTGTGGTTACCCTCACAGAAAACCACACGATTCTTTCTTTGAAAAACCAACACAATCATTGAGTTTTTTTTCAAAGACTTGACAACATTGGGTACTCAATTTAAAAAAAAAACACATTTTGAACGAGTATACAATTCTTTTTGGACATTTCGAATCCTTAACAGGCCCTGTGGCCGCGGTTGCAAGACTGAAATTAAAATGAGGCTGTTGAGGATTCAAAACGTCAAAAAAATGTAAAAATAAGTAAACCGCGGCTTATACGTGCTCAAAAAGTGTTTTATTAGACGATTGGTGTGCTCGAAAATGTAATAAATAAAAATGACTTCATCTGATGTTTATTATGTAGAGTCCAAACATGACTTTTTTCTTTTGTCTGCTAATAAATTATAAGTAACATTATGTGACATTTTTGAACATCAGGATTTTACATTAGATAGCTTTAAGTCGTTCAATATATTATTAATTAATTGTGAATTGATTTATTTTCAACCAGACCCTTTCTTCTTCATTAGTTGTAAAGACGACAAGTACAACAAACACGAACAGCTAGCGCGAAACTTCGTATCGCCATTCTCAAGTTTATTGTTGATTTGCGAATGGATGGCGTAGCTTGTAGTCATTTACAGCTGCTTGAAGCAGCCTAGATTGAATAAAGTATAATGAAATTTATTGAATTTATATAAACAAGGCAGCGCCCCTACCGGACATAAGAACAAACGATGGCGATACGAATATTTTCTCGCTAGTTGTTTGTGCTTGGGGTTTTCAAATCATAATACACTTGCTTTTACTTGCTTGCTAGATAATTAACAATAACTCTCTCTGTTATGATGTTTTGAATTTGTTCTAGATCCAATGTTCATAATGTCGAAGCAGGGTAGTGTTCTCCTGTGCGTTGGAGGTTTCACTTTCAGAAAGCACCGCCAGCGATCCAACAAGACCCGCTGGAACTGCTCCTCGCATAAGAACTGCAAGGCTGTGGTCTACACCTCCGATGATACCAACGAAATAATGAAATGCAATAATGTACACAACCACCCAATCAGGTACAACAGAAAAATGTACTCATACGATAATATAAAGAAAAGAAAAATATTTAATTGACCCGTGAAATTGTAACGAACACGCAATAGCTTATTTCTGTTATAAATTTAGCTTATTACAAAGTTATGTGGTTATTGGAGCTACCTTTGTCAAGAAATTGTTAGGATCCACTGTTCATCACCTGCGAGTGCGTGGTCAGTCGGAAACGGTTGCCGCGACTACACCCGCACTCCTAGCACGCACTGGGGGGACCTTTGTTGCCAATTCTCGCCTTGAGGTCCCCTTAAGATCTCACCGTCCCCAAACCCCGGTGATGCTGTAAAGGTCACGTGAGACCATCAGCATACACACTCAAAAAAAGCACTGGGGGGACCTTTCTCACAATGCGTGTCGGGTGACCGGTGCAGGAGTATTGTCTGGTTTTACTAGCCCTGTTCAAGGCGATAGGTAGGGCCCTGTACATTTTATCGAGCCCAGTGCTGGATGAAAGGAGCATGGGGGAGTCCCTTTATCTCGCTCCCCCCCTGGTTGAAGGATGCGTAAGGCAATTACCGGACATTAAAAAAACAGGATTTACCGTTCATACATAGCCTAGTAACAACCACATATACCAGAGGGCCAATCGCCTAACGGGATTGCAATGGCTATAGCTGTCGCTTACGATTTTATTTTGTTATTTCTGACTGTCGAAGGTTTTCAAATGCCTCGGCTCTTTTTTCTTTTTTTGCATTGGTAATTGAAAAAATGAGCGTTAGTTATTTGAAAACCATAGACGATCAGAAATAACAAAAATGACGCCTTAAATGTATTTAATAAGAATTACATTATGTATTACAGCATAAATCGTCGATCATGTTTTCTTGATGTTTATTGAACAATGTTATAATGTTTATTTTATATTTAGATAAAAAAAGGTTAGTTTTTTGCGATTCAGCAAGCGCTGCTCTGCAACTTTTATTATATAAACGGTTGATATTAAGTTCTTATTATATTGAATTTAATTTTGTATAAAAACATTGTTTTAATTATGTAACCAAACCTTTAAAAGTTCGTTTGTTTCGGCAAATTTTTCTTCATATAAATTTATTATAATAGGTACCTACACGATTGGACAGATTTGTATGGATACTTTGATTTACAAGGCCAATTTCAAATCGTTCTTGTACAACCTTAATGATGTTAAATGAGCGCAACTTCATTTTATGCGACAAAATGTGGTTTAGTTGCAGTCTCAATCAGATTTCGTCAACTGTCGTTTTTACTCCTAGAGAAAATTGATTTCTTAGCGTGAGTTGCACCAACTTACTTTATAACTTTAAGTGTCATGTCAGTGCAATTTAAATTTGCTGTAACTTTAACAGATCTTGCTTGGACACTTATTGTTTCTCTCAAATTATGATTTCATTTTGACTATCGTCAAATGGTGCAACCCATTTTTAAGCTAATTGGTACTTTAACTGAACAATTAAGTTTGTGCAACCCACGCTTAAATTGTATCCAAGAAAGTTACATTTGAGCTAATAGTCTTATTATGTTTTACTCGTACAGAAATCTTATAGTGGGAGTATACCTATTTGACTAGATGTTTTCAAAGGTAAGCTCTAGAATGTGTTTGAACTCATTCTTACAACCACACCTTATTAAGTTTTATTCATTCGGTGCCCACCATATAGGACCTGCTAGGGCCCACCCTAGGGTCCCAACCCATGGTTATACTGTATGATGTAAATCATAATAAATATATTTGTATTGCATTTGAATATATTTGTATTGAGAACGTTTTAATATTTGAGGAGTAGCAATAATAAAAAGCTTTTAATCGAAAACTGTACCGTCGTCTCCTTATTTGTTATTGTCAAGTCAAAATAATAGTTTATTTCTCGGCTCTCCAGATGTTACGTTTATAAAGTCATCGCAAGCTCGAGGTGGCATAGTAATATCAATGGATGGCTATCGGTTCAGCATGCAACGGCAGCGTAGATACAAAACGCGTTTGCACTGCTTGACTCATCACAGCGAAGGTTGTAAGGCTTTCATATTCACCTTCGAAACTGGCGAAATCTTCAAATGCCTCAACTCTCTCAATCATCAAAGGAGTTAGAAATGTTGTTAACGTATTTATTGATTCGAGACAAACACCTCGATCAGATTTGTTTCAATCTGCAATAACTATACCTATAGTGTCTTTTTTTATCGAAATTGTCAAAATGCTATCCTGACTGTAGTGTATTGTTTTGTTATTGATTGTATTTTCTTCATTGTATCTACTAGTTTAATTTTCACGCATGTTATGTTTGCCTTAATATAACGTAACCATTAAGGTTTAAGCTAAAATACCATGTATGTTTGAATTGTAATAATGTTTTTGTTTGTAGCGAACCTAATAAATCAATAAATAAATCAATATTCAAAGAAAATGGAACAGAATCTTTGGGCTTTAGTCACACCTTTGTCACTAATTTGGAAATGGACAATATACTCTATTTCTGCTATTTCTTCTTGTAAAGGTATTCATTTGACATTGTGGGTTACCTACGATGGCGCTGCCTTGCAGCTTAAGAAATACTAGAGAAAATTCGACACGGATAATTTGGGCCGCGGTAACATAATGTTTAGTGCTTCCGCCCGGACAGCGGATGATGCGGAGGTCCGCGTGGAATTTCTCTAGTAAAATTTTCTTTGGATTTAAATTCCTAAGAAAATAAACTACTCGTATGTTGTTTATTAAAACAAATTATAAATGTATGTTTATTAAATTCTCTTTGTTTTCCGATATTGTGAATGATTTAAATAAAGCATAAATTTTCAGCAAAACTTTTCATTATAATAGTTAGGAGCAATGAGATATCAAGTATACTAAATTCTAAACGATTATATTCTATAGTACCATACGTCATTCTAATGCAAGAGGTGTTTTTTAAAGGTTCATCTCAGATCGAATTCATCTCAACAAGAAGAGGTGGGCTTTCAATATTGCACGAAGGGCGCCGATATCACAGGAAGAAGATCTACGTTAATGGAGAAACATTCTACAAATGCTATGCCAAATACTCGTGCAAGGGAAATGTGACCTTAAATGCAGATAACGTAATTACCAAACTGAGGGTGCATGATGACGACTGTCAAGTGGACTTCAAAAAGAATAGAATATTGAAAATGAAAGCCAACGCAAGAAAAAACACTTTTAACTTCTAATATTAAATTATCTAAATTAAGTAAAAGGATTCTAAACATTCACAGTCACTGTAATGTACTGTTCAACCTGTACCTGTAATCAGTATAATCTTCTGATCACTGCCTGTACAAATTTCATACTAGTTGTCTAATTCGTATTTTTGGCATCTAAACATTTTAAGCTATTGCATAGCTTTTATCGTAGGCTTTCAGCGCGGCGACCGAAGCAAGAAATTCCGTAACGAAAATAAACCTAACACTCCCCAATCCGACCGGCACAGCGGTCTGGCGTTGAAAGCCGTGCATCGTCTAACGTTGCAGTTCGGCAGACTTCGGCACGGTGTTTGTGTGCGTACGACTAGACGTATGCGTGTAGACTAGCTGCTAATTGCTCATAACTGATTCTATCTCTTTTAGACACAATGCTAGGTGAAACAGCATGCTTTTTGGCCGCGTCTGCGAGTGATTTCGAGCCCACGACTAGTTGAATCTTAACGTGCATGTATATGGTATGACTGTACGAAGCTCGCACGGATCGAGACGAGCTGCTCCGAAATCGGACGAATACGTGAGCAGCTGTTTGTGAGAAAGTATATAATTCCTGAATAACCTACATGTATTGTAAGATAATAAAAATATTTTAAACAATATTAACTTCTCATTTATTCAATAAAAGAAAAAAAAATGTTTTCTTATCGGTCACTTAATATTAATTGAAGTTACACTTTTTGAGCGTCAAAAAGTGTAACTTCAATTAATATCAAAGAAAAAAAAGTACTACATAAATAAATAATTATAACTGCACAAGTTGATAAAAAATGCTATGCAATAGCTTTACCGCGGCACTCCCTGAGTGCCACACGTATTTTTTTTTTAAAGTCGACTTAAACTGAACATGTGATTTGAATTATCATTAATTTATAATACCTACTATTTTTATAAATCTTATACTTTTGAGTAAACCATTAACTTTATTTCAATCGCGTTTCTTTTGAAATAGAATAACGATAAGGATTCCTCTATTTGAATTCGCCTGGGAGATATGGCCAACCTGTTGGGAAGCACCATAGCCTAGTTGTTGTGCCTAGAAGCTTCTTACCAGCATAATACTTGCGCTACTGCGCGTCTACCTTGGTATACCAACCCCAACCCAAAACCTCACTCACTCACACAATATCACCAAAAGGTATTATTTCACTGTAGTCCTCTGAGAGGTCACTTCCTCCAGTGAGCGCTTCAATCCCAGCAGGATATCTGTTCTTTGCCCAACCTCTCTAATTACCGAAAATTTTAATTAATAAATCAACTGTGCTATTTTATAAGGACAAAGTCACTTTTACCGCGGAATCAGCGTGAATTGAAATTAGAATTCTAATTTGTATGATGTGATTTCAATAGCACCGCTGCTTTTAACTATTTGTTTTACGCTAACAGGTTTTTTTGTTTCTAGGTCTCAGAATCATGCCTCTATTCTTACGAGGCAGACCCATAGTGATGGTAGAAGGCCAAGCGTTTTCTGTTCATCAAAAATATGGACAACGGACTCGATGGCGCTGTACGAAGTCCTGGAAGGGGTGCAAGGCATCTCTTACCACTATCGAAGACATCGTCACCAAATCCAACCTCCATCATGATCACCGAGACGCCGTACCTATAACCTGAAAGAATCTCGCTATAATATATTAAATTATTTTATTGCCAATAAATTTACACGTACATCATTAAAACTTTTATAAGCATATATGCTTAGCTGCCACCATAGCCAGTAGACGCTTGCAATACAAAAATATCACTCACTCCGTTGGCTATACGGGTCTAATCCTCTACCCCGTGGAGCCCGGGAACCTTATAGTACAAGAGCCCAATCGGGGATTTTTCAATTTACTTGAGCGCGGCAGATTAACATACGGGGAACAATCTTGTGAAGTACTCCCACCATACCCGAGCCCTCTATTTAGGGCCGAACGCCAAGGGCAGCAAAAAAATCTTTAACAAATGGCCATGACTTTTGGTCTCGTCTAAATCGTCAGTCTTTTGAACAGAAGCTACTGCAGGGTTGGATGTTTTGTTACAGGAAAAAACGATTTTTTAAGTTTTCAAAAGGAATAATTGTATTAGTTTCTTATTAATTGAAAATAATGAATGATAAAATGTCCAATGACATGTTTTTTACGCATATTTTACAGTACATACATTCCTTATATACCTAATACTTTGAAATATCGAGATATATAAAAACATTGTTAACTTTTATTCTCTTGATCCTGTGAAATTCATTATAGCCGGTTATAAGTACAACCCTGTGTTGTATAACACTAATCGTAACTCGAACGCATAGTTTGCGTCGATACTATTCAAGAGAAACTCGACCGTAGCTTGTTGACGCTTTCAGTGCGCTTGTACTAAGCTCTTTCGTGTTTATCATCGACAAAATGTAGAAATTTTGTAACAACAGTTAATAAGTTCTTATTTATTTAACCTTTTTAATTATGTTGGAGTGCATTCAATTTTATATATTTATATTTTTTTTTTATATTATTTATTATATTTATTTATATATACCTATTTGTTTTAATTTACGTACCAGACTTAAATGCAAATACTGTAGAGTGCCAATTTATTTGACTTTAATTTCATATTTTTGTACCTTAGTGGTTGTCCAGCCATTAGCAAGCTAACTTGTTCAGTTGTGATATTTTGTCTAATTTTTATTTTGAATATGTTTGATAGCATGTTCCTAATGTTTTGGACATTCTCATTCATCATAATATTATTATTGTATAGTGATAGACTTAAGTAAGTTAAGTCTAGCTCTGAGGAGTAATTGTGCTATTGTTGTAACTTCGTCTTTTAGGATAAGTGTGTGGGTACCTGATGTCCAATTCAGTATGTAATTTAAGTGCCATGATAAAGTTTTGTATTTCATAAATGATTTTTTATTAATTATGTATTTATATTTTCTAATTATTTAAAGTGAAAGGATCCATGATGAAGACTAGGATAAGTAGTCCATACACCAACGTCACCATCATCATGTGAATCTGGTTCTAAATATCATCATTTTTTTTTACAATAACATATTTTGATTATAAAAACAACAATAGAGTAAATAGAGTCTTAGTATTTGAGAAAAATAGATATACCTAGTGTTCCGTTATCACTTAATCATGGTTACTTATTTATTATTTTAAATGTGGGTAGGTTCGCAACGAGAACGATGCATCTGTAAATGTGGTTTTTTACTAGCCTAACGCGTCTGCGTTTGGCTAGTAAAAAACTGTCTAGTTAGCCACTGATCACACGAGAGGACCTACGTCACTCCGTTCCGCGCCCGCGCACTCGCTAACATCGTATAACCCTAATCTTTACGTGCGGTATACCAAACAAGTGGAATTCGTCCACAATAAACTGTGAATTTCTTCTATGACTGTGTGGGCTGTTCATGTGCCCCTCTAGCTAGAAGAATACGCGGACCACAAGTTTCCGACAAAGGTTTCAAACGTGAGTACGTTACGCTATTAGCATACCCATTCGTAATTGACGTCTGTTAAGCTAGCATGGCAAAGTGAGCAGAATCGTTTAAATAAAGTGCATCAATTAGTGCTTATTTAGTGCTAATTTAGTGCCAAAACCGGAAATTTAATGCTCTCATAGTTTAGCGAAAAATTAGAACACTGCCAGCTTTTAATAAAGCTAGCAGGTTATTCCCTGAAACGCCTATATTAACGCGGTATAGAACTAAAGCAATGCATAGGGAATTTAGTGCTTAATGAGTGCTGGCAGTATCTGATGAAAATTTTGGAAAATAAAAAATATTTTATTTTATTATCAATAAAAACTGCTAGTATGATAGTCTGAGCAAGTGACCGGTTCGAATACATCACTCTGGATCGAAGATCTATGATAATCAACGGTTAATAATTTAGTGCTCAATGAGTGCTGCCAGTATGTGATATAACGTTTGGATTTTTTTATTTTTTATTAATAAAAACTGCTAGTTTGACAGTCTGAGCAAGTGATCGGGTTGAATACATCACTCTTGATCGAAGATTTATGATAGTCAACGGTTAATAATTTAGTTCTCAATGAGTGCTGCCAGTATGTGATAAAAAAAAAAGAAATTTTATTTTTTTAAAATTTTTATCAATATAAACTGCTAGTATGACAGTCTGAGCAAGTGACAGGGTTGAATACATCACTCTGGATCGAAGATCTATGATAATCAACGGTTAATAATATAGTGCTCAATGAGTGCTGCCAGTATGTGATAAAAAATTAGGAAATTTAATTTTTTTTTAAATTTTTATCAATATAAACTGCTAGTATGACAGTCTGAGCAAGTAACTGGGTTGAATACATCACTCTAGATCGAAGATCTATGATAATCAACGGTTAATAATTTAGTGCTCAATGAGTGCTGCCAGTATGTGATAAAAAATTACGAAATTTTATTTTTTAAAATTTTTTATCAGTATAAACTGCTAGTATGACAGTCTGAGCAAGTGACCGGGTTGAATACATCACTCTGGATCGAAGATTTATGATAGTCAACGGTTAATAATTTAGTGCTCAATGAGTGCTGCCAGTATGTGATAAAAAATAACGAAATTTTAATTTTTAAAATTTTTTATCAATATAAACTGCTAGTATGACAGTCTTAGCAAGTGACAGGGTTGAATACATCACTCTGGATCGAAGATTTATGATAGTCAACGGTTAATAATTTAGTGCTCAATGAGTGCTGCCAGTATGTGACAAAAAATTAGGATTTTTTTTTTTAATTTTTTATCAATATAAACTGCTAGTATGCCAGTCTGAGCAAGTGACTGGGTTGAATA